ATTCTCAAATTCTCCTATTTCAAAAGAAATGTATGCATTATTATTATACATCAAAGATTTCCTGTTTAAATGAAAGGAAAGCATGTGAAGCATCTAATATGGTCCCTTGTACACAGCAAGCATATTTATTTATTTATCTCCATCATTTTATTGGGGGCTCATACAGCTCTTAGCACAACCCATAATCAAGCACAATCCATTGTGTCACAGCAAGCTTTTAGTTGAAAAGTCAACTTCTCCAGCAGAGGGCGATATCTTCACACCTTATGCCATCTAGATAGCGCTGCTCTGGTTTGTAGAAGGGACCATGTATGGAATTTTGATGCTCTTAGAGATTTGTTTTTTTTTTTTTTTGAGATTTGTTTTTTAAAGAGGTAACATTCATTTCTATCTATACACACACACATATGTGTCTGTACACAACCACACACACACACACACACAACCCAAAAGACTAAAATCGTGGGTCGAGCATTGGGCAGCTAACTGCAAGATTGTCAGTTCAAACCCACCAGCCCCTCTGAGAGAGAAAGATGAGCTGGCTGTTCCCATAACAATGTGCAGTCTCAGAAACCCCAAAGAGCAGTTCCATTCGGCCCTATGGGGTCACTACGTCAATTCCATGGCAGGGGTGTAGGCTTTTGGGTTTATGCAAGATATTGTCCTTTTAACATGCAATCCATATAAAAAGTTATTAACGGAATCTTTTCATCCCTTTCCTTCATACTAAATCTCTGACGCCTAGTGTACATGTTGCACTTACACGCGTCTCAGATTGCACTTAGCACATCTCAAGTACTTGCTAGCCACAGGTTAGCGCAGCACAGGTCTGGGCTGCCCTCTCCACCTGGTGCTGAGCCTCTGAAGAATCAAGCTATGGAAAAATCCTTTTGGACAGGAACTAAAACACCGGAGAAAAAAGAACAATAATATATACATTTCCACTGGCCTAACAAAATTTGGTACTTTAAGCAAAAAAGTTTTTCCTTGAAATACAAAATTCTCTCAGTTCAGGCTCACAGCTTTTAAAAATGTATAAGGCCCACCCCCACCCGCACCACCCCCAGGGGATAAATAACAGAAATGTGGGTGAAGGGAGATGACGGACAGTGTAAGACATAAAATAGCAACAATAATATATAATTGGTCAAGGATTCATGAGGGTGGGAAGGTTGGGGAGGGAAGGGAAAAAAGAGCTGATACCCAGGGCTCAAGTAGAAAGAAAATGTTTGGAAATGTTGATGGCAACATATGTACAAGTGTGCTTAATACAATTGAATGATGGATTGTTAGAAGACTTATAAGAGGTCCCCCAAATAAAATGATTAATTTAAAAAAATGCTTAAAGAAATTGAAGGTAGATGACCTCAACCCCGAAAGTCCGTCTAAATTTGGGGGTGATGATGTTAAATGTGCTCCACAATAGAAAGCATGGTCACACACACAAAATTCCTGAAGGTGTCAGAAAGACGCGACAATCAATTCACCAGTACGGCTGTTCCTGGACGTGGATTCTCTCGCTTGCTCAGGCGAAATCTTATGGCTGTCCTAATTTAAGAAACAAAAGTAAAGATCTTCATGGACAATGTAAAAGGAGTGAAGTGACGTGTGGTGTGGGGACTCCACAAAGAGGAAGGAAAGGCACCACGTCAGCCCTGCTCCACCCTTCCCCTTTATCAGTTCTGACATCACCGCCCTTCCCACAGGCCTCCAGTTTTCAGCTGAGTTCTAAAATCTCCCTTCTCTGTGGTAGGGCTGACTTTTCCATGACAAAACCACACAGTGGGATCCTTGGATGGCACAAACAGTTAAGTATTCAAACCAAAGGCAGGCGGTTTGAACCCACTCTGAGAGGCCTGAGGAAAGGCCTGGGGCATGCTCCTTGAAGAGTCACAGCCTGGAACCCCCAGGGGTGCAGGTCTACCCAGTGACCGTGGGGTAGGCAGCGTTGGCTGGTTTCTTTTATTTCCTAACACCGCTGCCCCCACCCCTACCCCCTTACTGCCCATTTTATTTGAAGAATACCTGAGGGCCATAGTCTCAGAGGTTCATGTATCAGAACCAGGCCAGGAAGCCTGGTCTTTTACAGGATTTTAAATTTTGTTCCACATTTTTCTCCAACTCTATCCAGGTCTTCCTGTGTGATTCCTTTTAGAATCACAGACACCATCCGTTTTGGTCTCAGGGACGTGGAAGATGGGGTTCATGGACCCCATTAGCCCTTTGGATGAATTGCTTCATTGCATTTAAATTTTTCTCCCCTCTTCTTTGCCCCGGACAAGAAGAGACAAATTTGTTGCCATCATCATTCTCAAAACATTTGCTTTCTGCTTGAGCCCTTGGTATCAGCTCATTTTTTCCCTCCCTCCCCGCTCCCCGCTCCCTCATGAACCCTTGATAATTTATACATTATTATTGTTTTGTCATTTCTTACACTGTCCAACATCTCACATGTTTGGGCAATTTAAATAGAAATGGCTTTGCTTAAAATAACAACAACAGAAGCCAGTTTGATTCATTCGAAGGGGTAGCAATGCTTAAAGAGCAGCCTTCATCAATGAAGGTCAGTTAGAAAGTATTGTTACAAAATCCCAGAAGCCAGTTTTAAACAAAAATATCAAAATGTGAAGCTATTGAATCTCAACATATCGTTCATCTTGGTCTATAACGTCTGGAAGCAGTGTTTCCATCTCTCTGACCTTTCTATGAAAAATTATGTTCTTTTTGATTTAGACTACATCGAAGAGCAGTCTGGGGTCCTCCAAGCCCTTAGGTCATGTTCCTTTCCAACGTTCTTAGAGTGTGGGGGACAAAAAGAAGCCCGGAGGGTCAAGAACAGGGTTACCGACAGATGAGTGACGCTTTCTCAAGCACACACCCCCCCCAACCATTCTCGCTCCCCTCCAAGAATGAGCAGGTGCATTATCACCATGGAAAACATTTCCAGGACCCCACTTTCCCAGCCTTTCCCCCACCCCCACGGATGTTCTTTGCATTTTGTTAAAATTTCTTCATAACAAGCCAACCCCCCCTCCCCCGATCTCTTTGGCCCCTCAAAACATATTCACCATCCGCTTCCGAGCTGACTTCTCTGCCTTGAGTTTAGATTGCCCAGCAGATCCCCTCAGAAGCCACCGTTTCGATTGCACTTCGGTGGGGAAAGTGCCCGGATGTGGCAAGGGTGGGCCTGAGAGATGGCCAGCAGCCGTGCACTGATGGCAGAGACACTTTGAAACACATTCTGTGTGGAATCTCCGGTGATCCACATACGGACTGCTGGAACCCTAATTGCAATACTTGGGGGCCCACCTTTGTATTCTATCCAATTTCAGACTGCAGTCGTTCACCACTTCCTTTCTGTCCAATGACCACACACCACAGGCGGGACATGTTTGTGTGTCCCTGTGCCTTCTGTTACCTGGCGTGTCTAGGGAGGAAAACGTGGCCCTCGGGGGAAATTGGGAAACTAGGTAGCTAGCTCTGGTTGAGGTATTCCCAGGACGACAGACCGACGGATCGCCCTCCCAATCTCATCAGAGCGCTTTATTAGGAACATTTTCCCTCCAGTTGGCCTCTCTGAACACCCCCCGCCCCCACCAGGAAAGCTGTTTCTGACCATCAACAATGAACGCTCCCTAGTCAAGTGGCCAGTCGGCGCCCTGCCCAAAGGCAGACAACTGAGGGCACGAGGGGACGCTCAGGCAGTCCCGTCAAAAGTCCCCATGCTCAAGTTGCACCGTGCTCTTTCAAGATTAGTGGGAAGCTTCTTTCTTCCACATTCACCTAGCTAGAAGAAAGCCACTCCCAATGCTTCCAAAGGAGAGAGCATATTGGCGGGACGCAGCCGAGACCACCTGTCAGCACTCCTTCCACTGCCCTGGGAACCGGGGAGCATGTGTGTGCGCGCGCGCGCGTGCCACGGTGACTCAACATTTCCTTGACGATGTGGGGCGAACGAGTTTCTTTCGACGCTCAGTTCTCCACTCGTCTGCCTGTCTGTGACCTTCTGCCTCCCTCCAGCGGGACCCCTTCTTTCCCAGAGGAGACGGAAGCGCGTTTTCCTTACGAACGGAGAGTCTTCAGGGTCCCTGTCAGGAAAGGGTTGCCCTTGTTTCCACCTGACTAAAGCACCTTGCGTGATCGAGAAACAACCAGGGAGAAGGTCCCCGGGTGCCGTTTCTCCCAGCCATGAAACAAGTAGCAAACTTCTTTGGCCTCTCTATTTGTGTATTAGTTATGCCGAACCAGAGGTGAATGTTCCCTAAACCGTAACTTAAAAGTTACCTGCTGCTTTGATTAAACTCATATTATGCTTATATTAAAAGTTGCTCTCAAGTGCAGCACACATAAGAGAGATGACGCCAAATGAGCATGAATTGTTGCATATAAATATAAATAATCTGCTCTGTGAATCTTTGCCCGATTCACAATCAAAAGTTCAATATGTGTGCGGACACACACACACACACAGAGCCCACTTTGAAAAGAGGAGTCCCCGACGTTTAAAGCAATGACAGGGCACTAACACTCAGGCCGATGGAGCAGCTCCAGAGGAGGTAGAAACCCCCCAATACTGAAAGGCGCCTCTCTTCCACGCAGTGAGCCGTGGGTCATTTTCTCTATGCCTCCCCTAAACTTTTGAAACACAATGACAAGCTGTACATCTTCACATCAGAATAAAATAGCCCAACCCAGTTATTGTACGAGTGCACAGACTGCACCTGCTTCAGCATTTCATTTTTTTTGGGGGGGGGGGGCCACCGGGGTGGAGTCACTGGGTGGTGCAAAGTGTTAACAAGCTCAGCTGTTAACTCAGCGGTTCTCAACCTGTGGGGGGGGGGGGCTCACCAACCTTTGCAAACTCACCCTAGGGATTTCAGTCGCCCAAAATCCTGCCTCTGCACCCACAGCGACTCTTCTGCTTTCCCACATCGTTTAAATCCCACGCCTAAAACTGAGCAGCCTCGTGAGCTTGAAGGAGCCTCCCCTCCGGGCCTTACCTTCCACTGCGGTTTCCAGAAGCAGGATGAGGGAGAGAGCCAGGACCAGCCTGCTGCACCTGAGGGGATTCTGCATGGTGGCCCGCACACGCCAGCACCTCCCTCCAACCTCACACTTAGGAAATGGAGCAGGGCGAGCTCTGCCCCTTTGAGAAAAGTTCCCAAACCTCAAGCCCTCCCAGCACCCACGTCATGATTTCCTGAACAAAAAAGAAAAAGATCCACATCAAAACCAAAAAAAAAAAGAAGAAGCAAAATAACTATTCATGACCCATTGTGAAACTCTCCCCAGGCCTGCTCTTACACGTTTCAGGGGTTTTGGGGTTTTTTTGCTACTTGCCTGTTTAAAAAAAAAAAATCCCATTGAAACAGCAAAATCAGCATTTGGGGCAGTTTGTTTTTACTTTCTTCAGGGACCAAGAGACGCAGGTTTCAGCCGTTACACACCGCCGCCCTGTTGAGAGAGAAGGGAGACCTAGCCACCTGGCCCTCGCTGAGCATCTTCAGTGGAAGATCGCCTCCAGTCTTTTCAAGCTCCCGAACCAAACCTAGCAGCTGCTTCCCTCTAGAAGAATGACTTCTTTCTCAGAGGTCAGACCAGCAGCGTCCTCTGAGCCCCAGCGGCTCCCTTAGATCACTGGCACCCTCCACCTCAAGAATCTAGGGAGGCCTTCCACTTACAAAAGCCCCCTGCTCCCTCAAACCCAATATTTCCGGGGAAACGGAGTCCACGGATACTTTCTTCTTTTCTCCTCGCAAAGGTATTGAACTTGATGCTTGGCTCCTCTTGGTGGAAACTAGTTAGAAACCAGGAGCAAGGACAGGCTCTCCTCTTCGTAGAGTGTGGGGCCTCACAAACCCCACAAGCTAACTAAAGGGAAAGCCTTCTTCCTGGGCCCAGGGGTGGTGTGCAGACTCTTCTGGGGACCAAAGACTCCATAGTCAAGCCACACAATAGACACACCCTTTATCCTGCCCGGGGGGACCTGCACTTTTTCATTACGGCCTCAGGGGTCACCTGCTTCCCAGTTCAGCACCGGCTCCCCTCCAGCTCCCCCAGACAGTTCAAGTCTCATGCTCCACTTTCCATTCCCCTTGTCACCCCCGCCTGTTCTTTGATAGGAGGGAGGAGTTTCCCTTCCCTTGTTTTAGACTTCCTGCTGGTTCCTTTACCATTTCCTGACAAGAGGTTAATCGCCACTGTGCAGCTGGGGGTGCACATTTTGGCCCTCCTCAGAACCAGCCAGAAACGTGCCACCTACTTCCTCGGAGTAGAGCGACCAACCACTAACCTTGGCAAATCCTCTGAGCTCCCCCACTCTGCAGGATTGACTTGGGCTTGAAATATCAGTAGGTCACCCAAACCCCCCACACACACACCCAAACCCCCCCCACACACACACTTTTAAAACCTTGGCACCAAAACGATTGTTCCTGCCAATCTTATCCTGTCAACTCTCAGCTGATCAGAGCTCATGCTTTAAACATGGTGATTTGGGGGCCTTTTCCGTTTATGTCCCTTTTTTTTTCTGTCTCTGGAATTCAGGCGGTGACCTCAGAACATTCATACACATTTGTTCTTCTCCCACCACATTGACAGCTAATCATTTCCTTTTCCACATATCTTTTCTCTGGTCTCACTTTCTTGGTTCTCTTTCTAAGGACAAGTTCACACCAGCAGCCAGAAGGCCTGGGTTCGAACCCAGGGCCCTCCCTTACCAGCTGGGCGGTACTGGGCCACTGACTCTCCATGAGCCCATATCCCCGACAACGGGGTGGGGAACTCGAGGGGGCACCTGAAGGATGTTCTGAAAACCCAAGGTGTTGGCACCACTGAGCTGGGTGCTATCTTCTTGCCCATGTTTTTCTCCTTAAGCATCTAGGGCTTCCCCTAAACTTCAACCTCTCCCACTGCATGTTTTCCATTCATTCCAAAAGGGACAGTTAACTAGATCTCCTTCACGTGACATTCTGTTCATTTCCTGTGACATTGATACCCTTACTGCTGACAGATGACACTGGAGCCTGGCAGAAATCAGTTCCCTGTTGGCTAAGAAAGTAATGTAACTCCCCCAAAAGGAATATAAATCTTTTTTAAAAAATCATTTAATTGGGGGCTCGTACAGTTCTTATCACAATCCATACATACATCCATTGTGTCAGGCACATTTGTACGTTTGTTGCCCTCATCATTCTCAAAACATTTGCTTTCTACTTGAGCCCTTGGTATCAGCTCCTCATTTTTTCTCCTCCCTCCCCGCTCCCCACTCCCTCATGAGCCCTTGATGATTTATAAATTATTATTATTTTGTCATATCTTACACTAACGTCTCCCTTCACCCAACTTTCTGTTGTCTGTTGCCAGGGATAAACCTTTTTATCACTAACTATTGATTTCAGAGTGGTGTTTTTATAAAGAGGACTCACTTTTGAGAACTCAAACCTTCTCAGCATCACAACTCAGCAACAAGTTGAAGACAGATTGACGTCGTTGTCAGAAGAGACAGTGAGGGCAATACAGAACTGCTGTGAGGGGCAGCTTCACACACGCATTTGTTTGCAACAGCCCAGAGGCTTATTAAGATCCTAACACTCCGTAGCCTCTAAGACTTTTTCTTACCCCTTTCTTCCTTTTTCTTGAGAGGATCTTGACTCTGAACTGGCCAATTCACCAAAACACACACACACACACACACACACACACAGGCCAATTCACCAACACACACACACACCACCCCCACAAAGAGATCCTGAATCACACAGAGATGCCTCTGGAGGCTGAAAGGATGACCGTGGCAAGAATGTTTGCTTCTACAACTTAAAGCAATCTTAGAAGCCGTCTACTTAGCCCGCTCCGAAGAAAATAATGGGCGTCCAGAAAGATTACACGACTTGCCCCTGCAAGTGTCAAAATCAACTTGGTGAATGTCAAAACCAGGTCTTGCTCAAGGTTTTTAAGTTCGCAGCCCAATGATAAAAACTGATTCTTATGGATCACTCTGTTCCTTAGGATTTCTGAGACTATGCATGTTCACAGGAGCAGTTAGGCTCACCTCTCTCCTGTGGGAACGAACACCCATGAGCTTGAACCACATTGAACTTGAAGGGAGCAGTCCAATGTTTAACCCACGGTGCTACTGTATAGGGCTTCTTAATGCAGGGGAGATGAAGAATAAAAGATAAGCAAGGTGAAATATTGACTTCAAGGCGGTGCAGTTTGAGGAGGGATGACAAGTCAGGGATGGTGTTGGGTCGCTGATTTGCTGAAGCTGAGAAATGAGTACATGGAAGGTCCTTATATTATTTTCCCTGTTTTTGTACATGTTTGATAATTTCCATAATGAAACATTTAAAAAACAATTTGTAAAGGTATCATGATCTAGGTGAAACCCATATATATATATATATACACACACACACACACAAATAAGAAAACATCTCCTGGCTAAAAAAGGAAAAATGAATGAATTTGTGAGGAGTATAATTTCTTTAAAACCAATTCATTAATGAAGGGATCTCTTGGAATTCCCCTCTCTCCCCTTCCCCTGACCTAGTCTCAGTCTCCTATCCTCCCCTTAGCAAAGGGAGAGACTGTATGTGGCCAAGGCAGAAACATGGCGTGATGCATCTGGCCCCAAGGGAGCAGCTATCCTTGCGCTCCCGCCCATCTCCCCACCTAACAGTAGATAGGTTCCCACAGCACAGGACTCTGGGAAAGGACACGGGCTCACGAACATCCATGACTGGTCCCAACAGGTCTTCTTTCTTCATTTTCCTTCTCCTCGCTGTTGCCGCTCATCAGCCTCCTGAAAGCAGGATCCTCTTCCACCCTCTTTCCTGCCCCCCCCCCCACACTCCTTGTTCATCAAGACCTCCACTATCCTGAGCTACAAGTCTCCCTAGATGTTGTCTTAAGGTTGGGGAGCTTGGCGTTTTTATATTGAACTGGAAAAGGGTGAGAAGGGACTCTTCCCAGCTCCTCATGGTTTGAATTTGTAATTTGAGTAGAAGAAAAAGAAGGCATACAAGGACTTCTCAAATGCCATTCAGAGTCTCATAGGATATAATATTCCAGTTCTGAAATTATAGGGCTTTGAAGAACCAAACGTTGGAACGAAGTGCTGCATGCAGAATATTACTGATAAACATTACTGGGAACACGGGAATGGGTTACTTCTCTTGGGAATACTTTCATAAGCATCAAAAACCTTGGAAACAGTTCTCTTCAGGAAACTTTCAGCCATACAGGAACAAGAGCAAACATGTGGGGCTAGGGGGCCCGATCCTTTAAACCTGAGCCAAGAAGGGAGGCTCTTCCTTGATTTCCGTGTTTTGTTCTGTTCTCAAGATGCAATATCAACAGTTTCAAAGTTATGTACATATCCTGATTATCTATTCTAATGAAGACATTCATAAAAGCTTACTACAGAAAACGCTGCCAAAGTTAGCTCAGCTGGTGATGGAAAGGCAGGCGATGCATATCCACCTCTTTGTGGAATTCAGAAGAGCCTGATGGTTGACTCCCCAAAAAATCAGTCATTGGAAACTCCAACTTACATGAGTTGAGTTTTACTCACCAGTGAATGTTTTTGCTCTTTCTTTCTTTCCTCGCTCTTTTTTTACTGAAAAACAAATCCATAGAAGCATATATGTGTATAAGAAAGAGACAATTGGTCATTGTCTCATGACCAATTGACAGACTAGACTCCACCCCTTCACTCTTAATCCTCTCAAGTCCAAATGGACACCAGATCATGGAATTCCCCTCTCTCCCCTCCCCCTGACCTAGTCTCAGTCTCGTATACTGTAACTTAAAATGACAAACTTTCTGTTGTATATACCATACCTTTTGACTTACCCTCATATGGTTGACGGACTGGACTCCACCCCTTCACTCTGAATTCTCTCAAGTCCCAAACTGACACCAAATATGTAACTACCACAGGTGGTAAACCCAAACCCACTGCCGTCAAGACAGTCCCAACGCCTAACAGGGCCGTGCTGGGTTTCTGAGGCTGTAAGTCCTTATGGGAGCAGATAGCCTCACCTTTATCTGCTTTGCAGTGCAAAGAGGGACTTAAAAGAAAAGTCAAATCACTTGGTCACT